AAAAGAAATTCGAAGGAGGAGATATTATGTGGCTTAATATTAGCAAAGAGGAATTGAAAGAGAATAACATAATATCAAATTAATTCAATATGAGTTGTTCAAGAATCTAAAGAAGATTATAGGCAAGACATATCAATTTTCTTTGCCTATCTAATGGAGATCAACTTAATAATGAACGTAAAAAAACTTCAATCCATTGGAGTTATCAATGTTGGATGATGAAGTGAAACAAGTAAAATATCCTCTCAATGAATAACTATTAGATTGGGTGGATTAGTTAAATGAAGATTAGCTTTTGTAGAAGAGAATTATGATGGTATTCCACAACACTAAGGTGTTTTGGCGTGTGGAATCCAAAGAAAAGTGATATAGTCATTAGAGAGGAGCTGAGCTATTTCCTTACCCAAAATTTTATTCTTAGGATAGATCATTTCTAAATAGGACCATTATGATTAGGAGACGAGTGACTCCAAGAAGGCATATGGATTCTTGGAGGTCAAGGGAATAATGAGAGAAGTAGAGAGAGAGAGAGAGAAATACAATAAAAGAAATAGTAGAAGTAGATTAATTAACAAGAATTACAAGGTCTGTTTATATAGGTTCGTACAGGTACAAAGGTAAATATCGAGCTAAGCTACAGAGACTTATTTACATAGCCTAATATCCTCCCACAAATTAAGCTTTCGGAGGTTGAATGGTTAATTTGGAGCGAAGGAAATTAAAGTGTGTGGAAGAAAGAGGTTTGGTGAGCACATCAGCGATCTGATCTTGTGAAAGTGAGATGAATATCGCCGGACTGGATATGCTGACGGATGAAGTGGTAGTCAATCTCAATGTGCTTCGTCCGAGCATGGAAGACTGGATTTTTGGCAAGAGAGATTGCGGATATGTTGTCACAGTAGATGATGGTCGGCGCGGATTGAGGAAGATGCAGCTCTGCAGCGAGGCGTCATATCCAGATGGCCTCGGATGTGGCTGCCGAGAGAGCACGGTATTCTGCTTCGGTAGAGGATTTTGCTACAGTTACTTGATTCTTGACTGTCCAAGAAATCAGGTTGGGTCCGAGAAAGGTACAATAACCGGAAATAGACTTTTGGTCCGATGCATGGGAGGCCCAGTCAGCATCGGTATAAGTTTGTAGGTGAAGAGGATCGGTGCATATGGGAAGACCGAAGGAGAGAGTCCCTTTAATGTAGCGGAGGAGGCGCTTGAGGGATTGATAGTCTTGAACGGTGGGTTGTTGCATGTGTTGACACACACGGTTTGTTGCATAGGCTATGTCTGGCTGGGTAATTGATAGATATTGTAGTGATCCCGCGAGACGATGATAGAGAGAAGGATCAGAGAACGGTGTTAGATCCGACGTCAGCTGCTTGTGCGAAGGTGCCACCGGAGTCGGTGCGGCTTTGCAATTCTCGAACCCGGAATCCCGAAGCAGCTTGGTGGCGTAGTATGTTTGGTTGAGGAAGAATTAAGTTCCGTTCCAGAGAACTTGAATGCCTAGAAACAGAGACACATGGCCTAGCTATTTCAGTGCGAACTGAGAGTGTAAGGCCTTAAGGAGAGAATTTCTTTCATCGGTGTTGTTTCCTGTGAAAAGAATATCGTCAACATAAATGAGGAGATAGAGATGAGTATGATTACGATTTAAGATAAGAAGGGAGGGATCAGAGCGGCTAAACCCGAAGCCACGCATTTGGAGAAAGCCCGTGAGCTTATGAAACCATTGTCGTGGCGCCTGTTTGAGGCCGTAGAGAGATTTTTGAAGTTTACAAAAGGCGTATGGTTGCCGGCTATCTGTGAACCCGGGCGGTTGTCGCATGTAGATGTCATCTGGTAGTTTGCCGTTAAGAAAGGCATTGTTGACATCTAGTTGTAGCATAGGCCAGCCTTGATTGAGTGCAAGTGTGAGAAGCATTCTGATGGTTGGCATCTTGGCTACTAGACTGAAAGTCTAAGTGTAATTTTCACGTTTTTTTTTATCATAGCCGAGAGCCACCAGGAGTGATTTGTAGCGATCGACTTGCCCGGTTGGAAGTAATTTCATTTTGAAAGTCCACTTGCAGCCTAGTATGTTCTTGTTTGGAGGAGCTGGGACTAGCTTCCAAGTCCCCTGTTGTTGAAGGGCATTGAACTCAGCTTGCATTGTCGCATGCCAATGTTCAGTCTTAGCAGCTTGTTTGTACGTAGTGGGAGTGCTGTTCTTGTTAGTATGACTGAGTAGGTTGAGAAGTTGTCTCGATTTTGTGATCTCGGATTTCAGCCGAGTTTGCATCTGATGGGTCGGACGAAGCAGAGGTATGGAGATGTGATGGTCCACTTCCCTAATGATGGGAGTCGGATCTGGGGCATGACTGAGCTGGGCGTTGTCAACCTGATCATTGTTTGCGGTGGGCGACACACTGGTTTGAATGGGGTGAATTGCCGCGATGGAAGAAGGATTTAGCAGAAGTGGTGGTAGCACCGCGTTGTTGTTGTTGTTGTTGTTGTTTTGGGAGTGGGAGGTAATGGGATGTGAAGCGGCAGGAAAGGTTTGCACGTGAAAGACAACGTGCCTATATGTTATAATTTTGTGTATGACAGGGTTGTAGCAGCGGTAACCTTTGTGAATTGGTGAGTAGCCGATGAAGATGCAGTCTTGAGAACGGGCCGAGAGCTTGCTAGTGATATAGGGCTGCATCCATGGGTAGCAGAGACATCCAAAGGTGCGGAGGTGGGTATACACTGGGATGACGCCGTATAGATTCTGATAGGGGGATTTGAGTGCCGTGGCCTTGGATGGAAGGCGATTTATGAGGTAATTTGCGGTGGATACAGCGTCAGCCCAAAATTTGTGCGGGAGCGAGGCGGCGTGTAACAGAGTACATGTGAGATCGAGGAGGTGCCGATGCTTGCGTTCGGTGACGCCATTTTGTTCGGGCGTTTGAGGACAGCTGAGTTGTTGAGTAATGCTGAGTTCTTGTAAGTAAGATTTGAAATTATTACTAGTAAACTCGCCGCCGCCGTCAGAGCGGAGGGTTTTTGGTGTGGTCGCATGTTGAGTTTTGATTAAACTGCAAAAAGCTTTAAATTTAGTGAACGTTTCTTGTTTAGTATGCATCAGGTAAATCCATGAAAATCGAGTAAAATCGTCAATGAAAACTACATAATGGCAGTGACCATCCAAGGACGGTTCTTGGGTAGGACCCCAGACGTCCGAATGGATGAGTTCAAAAGGCATAGTAGAGACTGAAATTCTTTTATTAAACATAAGTTTGTGACTTTTTGCCACGTTACAAGATTTGCATAAGAAGGAAGGAGAGGCGTTCTTGAATTCTGGAATCAGCTTGGCAAGAACGGGAAGTAGACCGTTGTTTGGGTGACCAAGGCGGTCATGCCAGAGCCGGGAGCTGAGACCGGTGGTGTTGCATGCGACCGATGGAGTGCTGAGTTCCGGCTTGATACGATATAGACCGTTATGCAGATGACCACGAAGAAGCGTGTGATGATCCTGGAGATCCTTAATTTCAAAGCCATTAGCATCAAAGATAATCGAAATTGAATTGTCGAAAGTTAATTTTGAAACGAATAATAAATTGTGAGTAAGAGAGGGGACATGTAGGAGATTACAAAGGCGAAGCTTACGATTCATGTCCGGTAATGGTAATAGGCCCTGTCCGGAATGTTGAATGGGTAAAGTTGTCTCATTAGCAATGGAGACGGTGTCGTTTCCCTGATAGGAAAGAGGGTACGAAATGTTGGAGGAATCCGGAGAAAGGTGAGACGAAGCACCAGAGTCTACAATCCAATATTGAGTTGCCTAGGCCGTGGGTTGAGCCATCATTGCGCGTTGGCCGTTAGGTACCGTGGGAGCATACTTGGGATTACAGCAGTGCCAGCAATTAATTGCGATGTGCCCAAGTTTCCCAAAGATTTGGAAAGTAGGCCGGTTCGTGGAAGTGGCAGCCGGGGCCTATAGCGTTTGCGTTACGGTGAATTATCGGGTGCTGTTGTTGAGGTTCTTGGCGGAGCGTTTATGGGAATGCCAACGATTCGTGTTCGGGATGTTGGCTTGAAGAGCCGTTGTCGACGAGCTGTGGGCAGAATCCTTGAGCAGTTCTTGTTGGACATGGATCTCCTCACTATAGAGGAGGGAGTACAAATTGTCAAGATCTGTCAGAAGAGAAGATGTGCGAATAGTGGTCTTTAACGAGTTGTATGACGAAGGCAGCCCATTTAGGATGTAGAGAATGACGTCTTCCGGATCAACGTGCGAGCCGGAGGTGGCAATGTTGTCGACGATGTTCTTGACTTGAGTGAGGTATTGTTGCATACTTAGATCTTTCATCTGAATATGATGGAGTTCGTTCTTGAGTTGTATTACTCGAGAACGACTTGTTGGTTGCAATTGGCGTTCAAGAATCGTCCAGACATCGTGGGCAGTAGAAGAATTGATTACATAGGGAAGAATCAGAGGAGATATGGTGGAAAATAAGGCGGAAATCAAGTTGCTGTCAACAAGAAGCCAGCGTTGATGATCTTGATTTTGTTCGGCGGAAGGTGGAGGAGTTTTACCGGTGAGATGACCGGCATAGCCATTGGCGGTGAAGTGTTGTATGATCTGTAGGCGCCATATCGCATAGTTATCGATGGTGAGAGGATGAGGGATCAGATTCTTCACGTTGGAGATGAGAAATTTTAGTGATGCCGGTATCGGTAGCTCGGTGGAGTTGCCGGCAATGGTAGAGGAGGGAGGGAGAGTGGTAGCTGAATCTTGGTCCCCCATTTTGGCTCAAGATACCATGAGAGAAGTAGAGAGAGAGAGAGAGAGAGAGAGAGAGAGAGAGAGAGAGAGAAAAGCCTAAATTGAATTTTAAAAAGTTTATATTTTTGATGAAAAAACAAAAAACTATGAATGTAAAATTTGAAAGTAAAAACATGATGATAAAAAATTTCGATTTTTACAGGAATCCTATAAGAATTGCTGATAAGGATTCTTCATTCTTGTCCTCATTGCGCCTTTCTTCTTCGTATGATCTACTTGGAATTTGTACAGGAAATCTCACGAAAGCAACCCTAGCTGCAAATCTCTGAATCGCGCGTTTTCTTCTGGTTTTAAACTTGGAAATTTTTGGCTTTGATTGCTTCTTTTTGCTGAAAGTGATTGTGGTAGAGTCTCATTGTTCTCACTGGTAGAAGAAATCAGAAGTCATTTTCTGGTTATACGGTCACAGTTCTCTTGGCAGCTTCTTTCTGGTCACAGGTGGGTAAGCTTCTTCCAAAATCCGTCCTTTCCGCCTGACTTCGAAGATTCTTGCCTACATCACTCTCATGGCTACATAGTTTTCTTCTTCTCGTCAATGCTTGTTCATTCCCTGCCTATGAGGAGAGCTTTAGGGCATTGAAGAAGGAATTAGAAAAAAACAAAAAAAAACTTTGCTAAGTATAGCATATAGAGATGATTCAGGTTCTTTTTCTCGTTCTCTTTGCTGAGGGGGCAGTGGCGTTTCTTCTGATGCTGAAAATTGGACCACTTCGAGAGCTTGTCATGAAAACATTGGATCAATTGAAGACAGGGAAGGGTCCGGCAACAATGAAGACATTAGCCTGTACGTTTGCAGTGATTTTCCTTTCAAGCATAGTTAATATCCTTAACATACAGAAGAGGGGTTTAAAGCTTGGTACTGTTACTCCCATGGACCAAGTTCTTTGGAGGACTCATGTTCTTGAGGCCTCACTTACAGGTAAATTTTCTTGGCTGGTTTTGTTTGATTTGGGCTCTTTTGATCCCTCATAGTAGTTTGCTTAAAAGTGAGATTTTGAGAAGATGGATCTATGTAAAACCAGGTTTTTTATTGTTTATGAAGATTTGGCCTCTTTTTTCCTTAACTCTCCATGTTCCAAGTGCAGTATTTTCTGGTTTGTAGACATTGCTGTAGGATCTTAATCAAGTAGCCAAATGAAAAAATAATTATGAAACATTCCTAGCTTGGTTAACTGTGACAATCGGCAAGGTTTTTGTTGAGATGAGCATTATGTTAGAAAATAGTTCCACATTGGAAGTGGAGCAAGAGCTGAGTTGCTAAAATACTAGTAATGCCCGATACATATTGTCCTAAAACTTTTGGGTTCACACTTCACAGTGTCCATGTACTAGTGTATTGTGGTCACCTCAAATCCTCATATTTTAACCTCCATAACAATTGTGTTTATAAGTTGGCATTTAAGGCCTAACAAGATCACTTATTTAAATTAAGACTTCGTTTGGAATGCTTTTCTTATTGCTTCTTAAAACAGTTTTTTAGTATAAAAATTTTAATTATTGTACTACAAAGCTGCTTTAAGAAGCAACAAAAAAGCCATTCCAAACGAAACCTAAGTTTGTTACTTGTGCAATATATTCTTGGCAATATTGTTCCTATGTGGAACTGCAACGCAACAGTATCATCTTCCTTCTTATGTGCTGCAATTGCAATAATCCAGTGGTTATTGCTTTAAATTGCAGCAAAAAAGTGCTTAATTTCACATATCTGTATCACAAATACATTGTTATTCTCTTAACTTGGTTTAACAAATGGCGTTGAATGATCATGATAACTCAGCAATCAAGCCAATAACATCAAATGCTTAGAAGATGCACATCTCTTCTGCTATTTCAGCTTTGTAAATTGTAGCAGACATGAATGATTCTGTTTGGATCCTTGTAAGGCATTTTTTTACAATGGTTGTACTAGTCTCCTTTAGAAAGAAAAAGATACATCACTTCTGCTGTTTGTTAATATGTTCCTTGATGTTGCTAATGGGTGAGGGTGAGCTTGGAGCAATGTTTAGCTGCCTCCATTGTGATCTGGAGGCTACTGATGTGAATCACATAGATAATATTTTGCAAATATATGGTAAGGCTATATGCATTAATTGATCAACCTCTCCAAAAACTGGTATGGGTGGGAGCTTCATGTAGTGGGATATGCCCTTTTAGGTTTTTGATGGGTGTGATCACAACATTGAAGATTTTACTATTATGTGTTTATTCCTTCATTTTTATTATTAGTGCTCTCAATTGGTTTGGATAATCAGTGGCAGCCCACTTTCTTCTCAGATTATTATATATATATATATATATAAAACCTATTTTTAATTTCATTGCTTGTTATGCTTTGTATTCCAAGCTTTTCTCCTGCTGTATATCACCGAATGTTGCTTCTTAAAATTCATCTTATCTTAGAATTTTAAAATCTTTGATCCATTAGCTCATCAAATATGTGGCATAATAGCAAATTAATAAACATGTCTAATTTACAACTGCCTTAATACTAACAAGAGTATCATATGTTTGAGAAAATCAATGCGGACTTGGTGTAAAATCTTGGTACTTCATTGAGATTCATTAACAGGGTTACTGCTTATATTCCTTGTAGAAGGTTTGAGATGCCAGTAAGAGGGCCAGTTCAAGCTTGTTAGATTTGTTATTTATTTATTGATAAAAGTCAAATGAGCAACTTAACAGTAGATGTAAAGGTGGTTGAGATTGGCCTAATATCTCAACAATTTAAATTTGTTCTGATTCATCCTATCATAAAGGCTACCAAAGACTATAATAGAAGGCCTTACAATTGGTTGCTGAAAAGTGTCATGGAGCTATGAAGCAGGACATTTTGAACAAGGGAAAAAAATGATTTATGTGCTATTAGAAAGGATTTTGTATTAAATTATAATTATTTCCTGCCAGAAAATTTTTTCTGAAGTGAAACAAGTGTAAGCAAGCATCCTTTCGATGAAGTTTAGTGTAGTGGTTCAAATTTTCATTTTGTGTTTGAAGATTTAAGTGTTATAGAATATAATGTAGATGTGCTGTAAAAGATCTCAATTGTTTTCAGTGGGTTTTCTTTGGAGATGAGCAATTAGTTGTTTGACTTGGTTGATTCTCGTTCAAACATGTACCTGTTGAGAACTTGTTCACTTGAAAGAAGTAATTCTACATATAACTTAGCCAACCAATATGATGTTGGTGTTATCTCAAAAATGTGCAAGTATTCGTTAATTGATTTTGATCTCATGGGACCTATCTTAGAAACTAGTGCTTTCTAATTTAACTTTGATTTTCATAATGGATGTATTACTGAAATGGATTTGAGCATCCCAAAGTTATTCTACAAGCTCCTCAAAAAAACGAAATGATGCTGGAACTATACAAACTCATGACGAGTGTTGTGAAAATCATTGAATGATAAAAATGAAAAGGGAAAATGATAAGCGTAATCATATATTAACCATGCAAAGAATGCATGAATGGTAATGCTACATAACATGATCATAAAGATGACACCTAAAAGAGAGTAAGCATCTCTTCCTCAATTTTCTTATTGTTTGTGGTGTATCATGGACAAATATGGGTCTTAAAGATGATCCATCTCATTTCTAAATATCGAACGCCTTGTGATGGAGAACATGAAGGCAGTTCAAGGGCTATAGAACATTGTCATTGCCCATTTTTATCCTAATTCTTAATTGATTTAATAATCTTTTGCTTTAGGTATTTTGTAAATTCTTATATTTATTTCTCTTGTGCATCTGGGTCTTATTATGTTGAACTTCATGCTATATGAGACTATTAATCCCTCAAAAGGTTTTATGACCATTCAGTTTTTAGATTATTATTGTAACCTTTTTTGTAATTTGGATTTTAATTTTCGTGAATGAAATTATTATTTTCTATCTTTGAAGAATTTAATCAAGCATCTATTTTTGAAGTAGATAATCACCATGGGTTGCAGTGCATGTCGGAGTGATTCAGTGATTTAGTTTGTGGTATTAAGACTTTACCTTTCCTATTACTCTTTCCTAATACTATTACCCCTCCACCATTGAAAGATTCTTCTATTGCATCTTGATTTTTTGCATTATTTTGATAATAGAGCATGTTTTTTCTTTTTTTTTGCTTTTTTTGTGTTTCAGACAACAAAAAATATGTTCAACATTGGATTCCTCATCTCTTACATCTCCATAAATTCTTATAATTTGGAAGGAAAAAAACAATGCCATTTAAATTTCAATGCATATGTACTATTGCTAATTTTGTGTTTTATCCAAAGTTCTCTAGAATAACATGGATACAAATCCACTTTGAATATTGATAAGTACCACATCTTACTCATGAATATGCTCCCTTTTCCCATCCTTTTTTTGCATCCTATTATTATTGATCATTTTCTTTGAACACCAAAATGTAGCAACCATAGTATATGTTTGGTATTAGTGTTTTGTTAATACATATGAGAGTATTGATTTTAGTCGCACATCATATATGTAAAATATGTTAGTTTTAAAAAGCCAAGTGATTGACCCTCTATAAGCTTGAACTTAGTGTTGAAAGGAGTTTGAACATTTTGTATTGAGTCTAACTTTGGTTCACATACTTCCTAACGACTAGTTTCACAGTTAGGTTAAGTTAGAATCAAGTAGTTTGTATAGTTTGTGGCTTCTATGGGTCTTTAAGTCTTTCTATATACTTGAGTAAAATTCAACAGGCGACTCGTATGATTTTTCTATATAGTTGAGTGGGCTATTGGTGCATAATATTTGATGAAGTAAAAAAAAAATAAAAATAAAAAATGCTTACTTTTGAGAGGAAGTGAAATGTAGAGCTCAAATATTGGGAACTAGATTTTAAAGACACATAAGAATATTGGATTTTATCTCACATTGTATAGGTGAAAAAAATTTTAGGGAGTAAATACCAAGTGGTTTGCTCTCTCTTACAGGCTTAAGTTTTTAGGTTAAGAAAGGGTTCGCCAATGAGCTATTAAGTCCAACTTTTATCCCGCTTTGATTGCATGCTCCCTGACATGCCTTTCTTTCTTATTCTTGTCACGAGCAATTTTGTTGGTTTGTTGATTCACTTGTTTGAATCACTTTGCAATCAACATTTGACCATCTAACGTAGCCATTTCTCTTGCTAATCCTAGATGCTTTTAGCCTCATTTAAGCAAGGTTTATCATTGTTGGATCCTTTGTTTTCTTCCTACTTGGACTAGTGTGTGTTTGTCTTGTCTTAGGTGATTGTATGGGTTTTTAGGCAATTCCCTCCCCTCGAAAAGTTTTAAAATACCATGGTCTTTAGGCAATTGCCCCCAGTATAATCAAGCACATTGTGTAGAGGTGTTATTGTTAGGAAATGATGAATCAAATACAAAGAGAAATAGTAAAGAAAATCCAAAAATATCGTTACAAACAAAATTTGTTCCGGGGGCGCTACCCCCTTGGACCTCTGACATATCTGCAAAGCGTATAATGATCAAGGATATGAACAAATAGGGGTCGAGCCAACTTCAAGCAAAAAAAAAATATATCTATATTTTTTGCCCCCTGAAAATTAAGGCTGGGTCCGCCCCTGTCTGCATAATTGCATCTAATTTCATCATTGATAGGATATCGAATGGTTGAATTAGACAGCCTGGAGAAAATTTGTTAGACTAGACAACCATATATCTACACAAGAATCCACCGAGTGCTATAGAGAAGTTAAACATCAGTCATCTAATGTAAAACAATTTTTTGATGCGGGAATATATGTTGTTAAAAACTAAAAGTAATATGAGTAGAGCTATTTTTTTATTCAATGAGGTGAAATGGAGTACTGTATCTTCTATTTGAGATGCTATAATAGTTGGTACTCTTTCATTATTGTGTAATCCTTTTTTGTAGAGTACATTGTTACCCTCATGCCATATGTTGTAGGTCATCAAAAATCATCATCTTGTAAATAAAGATATTGCAACATGAAAGTGATAATACTTAAAAGTTTTGAGTAAGGCGAGAAGAGGTAAACATCCCAATTTTATAGCTATGTAAAGAAAATGAGGGGTCAATCATTTGGGGATGGTGAGAAATTTCAGGCACATTTATTTTTGAAGACATGATGTGGAAAACTACACGTTATCTGCAGCATCTAAAGGTAGCATAGATGAGTAGCACTACATCAATGAGCAAAGTCATCTGTGAGCGCCACTACACGTCAACAACCAATGACTACATGTCATTAGTAAGCAACGCCAAGCATTAGCAATAGGTAGAAGCATCTTAATTTGAGGAAGGTTCATAATTTTCTTTAGTCTCTAAGATTGTAGAGGTTTTCATGTAGACTTATAGAGGACTAATTTTTTCAAGTGTTATGTGAATGGGTAAAGGAGGTTGTAGCCATTCCATTCCATCACTATAAATTTTGCAAAATTCAACCCAGTAAGTCTTACCTTAGACTAGCTCTCATGGACTCGCCCAGACCTGCTCGGTGGCTAACCATGGCCATTATTGGCCATTCTCCAATAAGGGGTCTAAAAACATTAATTGGAGAGGACATTGCAATTGCAATGGTGGTGATGATTTCATAAAGAGGATCGTTATGAAAATTCCAAAAAGGTTTATAACCTCATTATGGGCTTTGAAAATTCGCTCCCCGGCCTCTCTATGGCCCCTTTCTCTCTTTTCTTCGGGTCGTCGAGGAGAGTTTTAACAATTAGGTTCCGTAATTTTAACAATTAGGTTCCGTGGAAAATTTTCATAAGGCAGATTGAGTTTTAAATAAGACACTACCCATAGATTTCACCCTCATTTTGCGAGGACTTTATGATCTTAGTTCTGGTTTCCTATAGGCGCAAGCCCCTATAGTTAATTACCCCTCTCGATAATGAGAGAGAACTTTCGATTAAGGCTAGTCGTCAAACAAATACGTAGTATCTGGCGTATAGTAGCAACATGATTTAGGTATTTGAAAATTTGATATTTAAAATTGGAAATTTACCATCATGCACTTAAAGCGGATAGTGGGAGGGAGTGATGATAGACCCGATCATGATCTTATTGTTATGTCGACCTGGGTTATCATGGTTCTTAGTTTACTTAGGCAGAGGTGATAGTTGACTCAACTTGATAAAATGATCCTTCTCGACATCCATGGGTTGCTTCGTCCAAGCGCACCTTGTAGACCTGGGGTGGATATTTTTCTAAGGGGATAAATTTGAGTCCACCTTAGCAGACAAAGGGATTTGTACCCTATCAATCATATCATATTGATTCATTGCTCAATGATTTAACGCCTTTAGGGGAACATATGGGCTCGGACCATGATCGTAATATAATAATGTCATTTGGCGGCAAAACCACACGATCATAACCATTTATTTGTGGTGCCATTTGATAGAGAAATCACTGATTAGAGGACGCGTGCCACGTCCTTACTGACAAGAGATGAATTGATAATGAATCCGAGTGATATTATTTACCAAACATTTGCTCTTTATGAGCCGAAGTGATTTTCAGATTTGGCCACCTTAGCAAGTAGTTGCGAGGGTAGATGAGTATTTTTTTTTTTCTTTAATTTTTTAGGTGCTTTATTTCAATTTTAAATATTTAGTTTTGGCGAATTTTCAAATTTTGGATTTTTACGGGCATTTGAGAATTTTAGAGGCATTTTTAATATTTGGGGTGAGATTTTCTATCAACATGGTCATCATCGAGGTATGTGAGTTGTTTCATTTTTGTTGATTGAACCCTATCGACTCTATCTCCTTGTTGACAGACGATTGGGTTCGAATCTAAATTCATTTCTTAACCCGCGCAGTATCTTTAGAGGTCATGTGTGTATCTACAACACGCTCGTCGGGGGCAATATAGGTATATGTTACACGTATTTTGCATGATGCATTTATGTAATTGTTATACATATGGATGTTTGCGACAAATTTGTAGGTATCACATATATTGGCTCATGTATTTTGTATTTTACATTTTGCACATTATGTAGTTGTAGTGTGTTGTATATATTTTTTTACATGCAAATGAAATATTGCATGATATTACTTGAATTAAATCCTCTATATCTTGCAAATACATGCAGGAGGATACTCGGCTGCACATGTACGACATATTTGCATGCAAATGCCGTATTGAATGGCTTGAATGCAACCCTCTGCGCCTTGATTTTCGTGCCTTTTTTTTTTTTTTAAATTTGTGTTGTCTCTTCAGGGTACACGTCGATTTCTCTGTGCGATTTTTGTTGAGAAAATTTACATTCATTTTTAGGTGACTCGGACGTTCCGGGACTCGGACTTTCCGAGCGCAACGACAAAGTCCATTTCACGATTGGAAGTCATTTAGGCAGCCTCGTGTGTCATTTTCAGGTATCGGTTGTCGATTTTGACCGTTCTCATCCAATTCAACTGTGAGAGGCTCCCTTTTAGGCGAATTTGATACTCTGATCGCAACGGCACAATCCGTTCGATGATTGGAGGTCATTTAACCTTTCAAGTGATGTGTCGTGCCCGCCGACCATCATTTAAGTAGAATCTAGTATGGAAATATTCCTTTTGTGCGCATTTCATTTTAGGGGTCAACACTCATTTAGATCTCACAAGACAAGCAATGCAGAATGTGTTATGGAATTATTCCTCTCCTTTGGAGAAGCACTGAGCGAGGTATTGTTCACAGAGATGTGGAGTGTAGAAGGTACAATAACTTAGTGAAATTTTTAGAGTTTAGATTAACTTGCAACCAAATATGGGTGTGTTAGTGACAACATTGGTCACTTATCTTAGGGTCAGCGGTCTCTCAGACAACAACTCATCTGCTAGTGCTGGCAACAGTGTTGCATCGTAGCCTGAGAACCAACAAACAAGTAGACGTGACATGGAGAACATGCCAACTTGCCTGAGTTAACTGTTACAATAGTTCACTCACATTGCCTGTTCCTTTTTCTACAAGAGTTTTCTCAAGTTTAGTATTCTGCCATTTATCATGGTCTGTACGTGTAATTTTCAATTAGAAATGCTGTTCTCAAACTCATTTAGCTCTCCAGGTTACATCCTGTTTCTAGCCTTTGTGATCGACCGGCTTCACCATTACCTCTGCAAGTTAACAAATCTTAAAAAAACAGTTATTAGTTCCAGAGATGAAGTTGAAGAGCTTCAGAAGGAACAACTCCACTTCAAAGAGAAGGAAATCAAGTCATCAGATGAGATCAAAAAGCTAAAAGATGAGATTTCTGTACTGAATGAGAAGCTCCAGAAGCTAAAATCAGACTCCGACGATCACGAAAAGCGAACCATCTCCGCCGAGGCTCATGTCTCTGCTCTCCAGAAACAGTGTGAAGAGCTTCTCCTTGAATATGATCGCTTGCTGGAGGACAACCAGATCCTTCAGGCACAGGCACTTGGATACAGAAGTTGAGGCTTTGAGATAAAGTAAATTAAGTTTTCCTTCTGTTTTTTGGGTTATTTGGGATGAGATTCCTATAACACAGAGTAGAGAAGGCTACAGGTTGGTACCCAGTATTTTCTTTTTTCTTTACAGATCGGCTTTCTATAGTATTATTATCTTCATGATTTTATTTAGAACTTGTGGGGCTTTTGGATCTTGGAATATTAACATAGTAATCCGTTTCATTTGCTGGATTGTTTGCTTTTATGGCTAATATTTTTGCTAAGCGTTTATATAGAAACAGTTAGTTTTCATTATCCCAATCATTCATTGCACATATTTGTCTTTATGAAAGTATTGATGGGTTGAAAATGTCTACTTTTGGTAGAACTGAGGTTTCTTTTGGGGAGAAATTATTCTGTGCAGACATCGGATAATCCGGAGATCAATCAGAATGCGCTATGTCATTCAGTACATAGCGTTACCAAGCAAAAAAATGACGTGATCCGTTCTAATTGGTCTAAGGACGCCGTCCGGTGTCCGCACAAATAACTTTTCTTATTGAGATAGCTTTTTGGACCTATTTTTTGCTTCTTTCAATAATTTTTTTTAAATTAAAAAAATGCTTTAGAAAATAGTACTGTCCCAAACGAAATCTTAATATCAATGTGCCTAAGTTTGAAGTGTAAATAGATGCAATAAATATAGAGATTGAGTGACTTTTTTTTTTTTGCTTGTGAGAAATCAGGTCATTAGAGTGAGAGGGTTGATCTTAATGAACTTTACCTTTTATTTTTTATATTGCACACACTATTCTAGACTGCATGGCTAGAGAATTTTATGTGGAAACTTTGGAAAGAGGTGACTAAAGTGAGCCATGCTAATCCAAGCTTGTTGGATTTAGTGCAATTCAAGTTGATTTGGGATGCAATTTTGGTTTTAATAATGGTTTATTCATAATGAAATCATTCTTTTGTTAAGATTTTATGGTGTTTTGATCTCATTTAGCGGCGGTTTGGTTTGCTGAAAATTTTAGTGTAAAAGGAGTACTTTTGAGTTGTTTGGATGATTGTAAAAGGAATATATATGATCATTATATTTTGATTGGTTTGAAGTAAAATGAATGCAATGTAAAGTACAAAGAGGGCGGTGGTAGGTGGCCGACATTGAGGACAATGGTGGCTGACAGGTAGCAAGGGCAGGCGGCAATGGTGGTTGAGCAGTGGTGGGCGAAGGCAATTGCAATTAATTTCTGGTGTATTTGAAATTCACTCAAATCTGAGGAATTCCAAATGCACAAAAAATAAACTAAAGTGTGAATTCTAAATGTATTAAAATGTTACACTGAATTTCTTTTACTTCAAACCAAAAATTAATATTTTTAAAACCGTTGCGTTTGAAATATTTTACACTCATTTTACATCAACCAAATAGCCCCTTATCCTTATTTTAAAAGTAAATTAAGCATTAATTTGGTTCATATATATGTTGATTTGTATCATTATTTAATCATACAAATCAACATATATATACCAAGTCGTGTAATAAGCAATTTGAAGAGTTCTTTTTCCATGTCATATTCCCACAATCATTTTCATATGTATATCAAGATATAATAGTACAAGTAAATATGTAGAAAAGAAAGGATCTACTACATACATTAGAGCAAATATTGCCTATCAAAATAAAATAAAAGTTTTTTACAAAGCTTCATCTATTCACTTTCATTCTATTATAGCATTCACAAAATTTTTTGTAAATTCCTATAGCCCCCTCTCTATAAGAAAAATGTAAATTTAGGCTTCGTTCGAGATAGTTTTTGGCTATTACTTTTTTGTTGGTTTCAAAGAATTTTTATATTATAAAGTTGTTTTACAAAGCAGTAAGAAAATTGTCACAAACGGTGCCTTAAATTGCAACACAAATCTAATAAACATAAACTTTCCATTAGAAACAAATTTAGGCTTCGTTTGTGACGACTTTTTTACTGCTTCTTGAAGCAGCTTTTTAGTACAAAAAATTTAATTTTTATACTAGCTGCTTCAAAAAGCAGGAAAAAAACTGTCCCAAACGAAGCCTTAGACTAATCATCTTTAATCTTCAATATCATCTAAACACCTTAATCATCCTCTTAATATATACTTAATTTGCTTCAATCACATGTTAAATGATACATGTGATCATTTTTAAATTAAGTAAAATCTAATAAAATTGAAAATTGCTAAACTAATAAATAAATAAATAAATAACTTTCAAAGCCTAAATTAACTTTTTTTCTTCATAAAACTTTCTCTCAAGTACACAAACTTTTCATCATTAAAAAATAAAAGAAAAAGTTAAATTTCATTGTAAAGAATTCAACTCAATATTTGTATTGTTAAATAATAGTATTTTAAGATCTAATTTGCATCATAAAAATATGCAGCATTGACCATATTAGGCTATTTCTTTCATCATAAAAATATGATTCCATCAAACAAAATTTAAATCCACAAAGCCATCATTGTATTATTAAAATATTAGTTTTCATTACGCAAACATCATTGTTATGTATTATTATAACTATATTTGTTATCTTTTTTTTGTAATAAAATGATTAAAATAAAGCTTTAATTTTGATTCTAAAATTAAATATTTTAAATTATGAATTTTAGTTCTAACATTCGTATGATTTTGAAGAACATGAAATCATTGTGTTAATACATTTACCCCTCCTTTTAGGAATTTTGTCTCAAAATTCTTATTTGTTTGAATCCTTTACCTTAAAATACTCTTGAAAATGTCTATCCCATTTTTAGATTAACTTGAACTTAATAAGATTACAATTTGTAAATCTCATATAATTTCATTTTAGTCCCCCTTAATGATTATTTTAGCAAATGAGCATCATGTTATAAACTTTGATAATTGGTATGTTGTTGATTGGTATTTAATGATAATTAACATGTTGATTTTAATTTAATTTCATTATTTATAAGCTATTTTGATTTCAAAAGGGGCATAATTGTATATGAGATAATTAAAATGAGAATAATAGTAATGAAATCACCAACATTAGCAATTTATTTAGTTTATTTACAATTGAAATAATTATGTAAATTTTTCTTGTTTTGCTTTTCTAATTTGTGATTATGTGTTTAATATTACTTATCTTCATAATAATATTAAAATCTTTTGATGATTTTTGATGCATCTCAACCCTATCTTGCACTTACTCAAGCCTTATAGGAATAATAAGTAGTTGATTTGTTAGGTTTCCTTTGAAGTTGTTTAGATAATGTTTTGTGAACTACTTATTGAACATTTTAAATGCTTTTTAGAGGCTATTTCTAGAGCTTTCCCAATGCTATAGATAAAAGATTAATGATTTATCATTTTGAGAAGATTTTAGGAATGCAGTTAATGTAGCAGTACCAACAACAACAACAACAACAACAATAATATCAAATCTTTATTCCAATACATAAGGCCATCATTATGAATTATTTTTTCTCTATTGTGTCTTATTAAGAGTCAAGTTCTCATTTAAATTTAATAAAATAATGAGTTCAAAACACTTAGTAATGAAGCCTTTTTAGATCAAGCTTTGCCTTTGGACCTAATACATCTGCTCTCATAATTGGGTCATAAAAAAGCTGATGTTCTAAATAAAATTTATGCATTCATCAAAATAATATCTATAATATTTCTATTTAATTTGTCTTTCTCGCTCTCTCTAGAACCAAAAACAATGCACAAAAGAAAAAAAGTTAATAAAAGAGTTTGAGAGAGAGAGAGAGAAGAGTAATATAAAATTGTTGCGTCCAGGAGTATTCGCGGCGGTAGAGAAATATAAAATTTATCATCTTAGCGTTGTACGAAAATTTGGCACGCAATTAGATAAGAGAGAGGGTCTAGCATTTATGAGACACCAAGATTTTTACGTGGAAAACCTCTGAAAAAAGGGGCAAAAACCACGGGGCCTAGCCCAGTTTGAACGAATCCACTAGTATTTGCAGTCGATTACAAATGAGGCCCTTCCTTGGAAGAAGGCCTTAGCTTGATGTACATCTTATAGAGTACATTACATAATGTAAATACAAAGAGCTACTATTGACATATTCGCTTTGTTGAAAGGACTGTAGTCGGCGAGTGACGGAAGTCAGGAGGACCGTAGTCAGCTGGCGACGGAGGTTGGAAGGACTGTAGTCGGCGGGCGACGTAAGTCAGGAGGACCGTAGTCGGCGGGCGACGGAGGTCGGAAAGACTGTAGTCGGCGGGCGACATAAGTCAGGAGGACCGTAGTCGGCGGGCGACGGAGGTCGGAAAGACTGTAGTCGGCGGGCGACATAAGTTAGGAGGACGATAGTCGGATGGCGACGGAGGTCAGAAGGACTGTAGTCTGACGACAAAGATTAGAAGGAAAGCATCAGGTACAAGTCCAACAATGGAAAGAAATCCATCTTCGCGTAGACGTCCAGCGAAGTCCGATAACCAGTAGAAGTCCGGCGCCTGGTAGAAACTTGGCGAAGAGTGAAGGCTCGACATCGAGTAGAATTGAAGTCTGACGTCTGTTGGTGGCAAAAGAGAACTCTGGCTTCACTTGGGCGGAGTTTTAGCGTTAGAAGGGAACTCTGTTACAAATTGGGAAGAATTTCAGCATCACGTAAAAGTTGGGAAGAATTCCTGCGTTTTCCCGAATATCACGCAGAATCCTGGCATGTTCGGGCGGCAGGAAGAGCTCTGGCGGTGGTCGAGGAGGAGCTTCCTCCTTCTCCTCCTTCTTCTCTTCTTCTTCTTCACTTGAGTCCCCTTGGTGTAGAATGAGGGGTCTATTTATAGTTTTTCTGGAGTGGCATAGCCCGTAAATAGGCGTGAGATCAAGGACGAATTAGGAGTGTTTTGAATGGACGGCTGATATCGAATCCTTTGATCATGCACCGTTCATTGGGAATTTGAAGGCCTTAATGATGTCGGAATTCGGAGATCTTGGGCTCGTTAGATTCTTCTCGTCGAGCCGTTCGATTCGAGTATAAGCTCGTCAAAATCGGAGACCGTTTGGTAACTCAAATTGCGGTTTGAACCTTCCAACAGCGCTTCGGGTCCTTGATTCGGATTTATTTGGGCTCGGATTGGATTGATCTTGGTGTCGTTGGGTTCGTCTTTCCGAGACGCTCAGTTTGACTATAAGCTTGCTGAAATCGGAGTTCGGGTGCTTCTGTAATTAATTTTTGAAGTTTCCAACTAGCTTTTTCCTCGAGATTCGTGCCCGATCAAGATAATTTTTGGAGTATGTATCAAAAATAAAAGATTGTTGGCATGTAAATATAAGTTGAATGTAGGG